GAATACGAAAATGAATATATGTATGTATATGCATGACTGGGACACTGTGCTGTACACCAGAAATTGACACATTGTAACTGACAGTACTTTAATTAAAAAAAAAGAATAAAAGCAGAGTTATCACCAGAAACAATGCGAGCAAGATGCTGAAGCAAAATCTTTGAAGGATTCTGCTCAAACTGTACACCTATACTGGGAGACGTCCAGTACCTTAATTGTAAACTTAAGACGTCCCCAGCAGAAGTAAGTAGGAAAATTAGAGTAAGGCAAGGAAGAGTCCTCCCCTAGAGCTTTCAGAGGGAACACGGCCCTGCTGACACCTTGACCTTGGACTTCTAGCCTCAGAACTGTGAGAGAATAAATGCATGTGGTTTTAAGCCAACCAGTTTGTGGTGCTTTATGACCACAGCCCTAGAAATCTAACACAAAATCCCAGGAGTTTGCAGAAACTTACAAATTGGTTCTCATATTCATCTGGAAATTCAAAGAAGCTAGAATAGCTGAAATGCTGAAAAAGAAAAAGAAAGTTGAACGACTAACCCTAACCGATTCCAAGATAGTATAAGGGGACAGTCATCAAGATAGCGCGGCACTGTCTTGACGTAAAGGTGGGCCAACGGATCAGTGGAAAACCATCGAGTCCTGAAACAGAACCATACACGTACAGACAACTAATTTTCCACACAGACAGAAGAACAGTTCGGCGGAACAAGGCTACACTTTTCAACTAGTGCCCACCCGCATGTAAAGAAAGAAACTTCAACCCATTCTGACTGACTGTGGGCTTGAAATGCACTATTTTCCCTCCTGCCAATTTTCATCTTCATTCTTTCTGTCTTAAAAGAATGCTGACATGTTTACTTTGAATAAAAATATCAACTCAAAGAAGAGGCAGCTGGTCCAGATAGATGCCTCATGGGAGAGAGACGCCAAGGCGGTACTGACAACCAGGTGATGGACATGGGGAAGAGAGTGGTGCACACAGAGGTGACTGCAGGCTGGCCTCATCAGGACTGAGGAGATGAAAAGAGCCATCTCCTGAACCTATTTTGCAAGCTGAAAAATCTATTTCGGTTTGATTGGCTAGGGGAAAACAGGATGATCTCATGAACTTAAAACGTAAGACGCAGCCTCAGGCTGGAGAACAGAGATCTAAGAGCAGCGAAGTAAATAGTGCTGACTTGGTCCGGACAGTTACAGGATTTAAAGGCTGCTCTGATGTCTTGCCCTCCAGCACATCAGGGTAACAGGGGGGCCTGGAGGGATAATCTGGGACGTTCAAAAGATAATCCCTCTGGATTTGTAAATGGGACAGCAATATCCAAGAGAGGAAGTATGCAACATCATTGTTGAGAAAAGATCTAGGCAAAATAGTTGGGGTGAAAAATCCTAAAACCAGCAGTCGTCTCTTCCCCATTGCCACCTGACAGGGGAACAGGCAAGCAGAGACCCACCCCCAGCCCTGCATCCCGAAGTATCCCTGCGCTTTTCATCACCTTTCTTGAAATTTTCAAGGTCACCCTCTGGTTGTGGGGACCAGTGACAGCTGGCAGGGCCATCCAGGCAGGACACCCCAAGTCTGCAGCAGGACCTGCATGGGTCCAGCCCCCCCCCGCTCCTCTTTGGAGCATTCTCTCACCCTACTCGCTTCGGAGGGTCCGTCATGTGCCCCAGGAACCTGGGACTCATATCCACCAGGTTGTCCTGGAACATGGTGGCCAGGTGCTTCCAAGAGGGCGGCGGCTGGTGAGCAGGCTGTTCTCACCAGGCAGCACTGCATCTCACCCACGGAACCTAGGGGATCGGCCACCAGGATGCTGCTGTGCTGGTGTTAAGTGCCTCAGATTGCTCATATGGAGACCCCTGCACCGCCCCTCACCAAATACTTGCTCAGGGCCACAATCGCTAAGGAAAGGCCTGGCGGGAGAGGAGGGTGAGCATCTGAATTAAAGTTAAGTCATCCAGTTAGCATAGAAAGCGGTGAAAACATTTTTTCAAAGAGAAAGAAGGAAACAACCTTGGACGTACACAAGTGTCTATGTGTATATATCCGTGATTTTTTTTTTTTTGGTCTTGATCTCCTGTTAAAATCCTATTTGCCACATTAGGTTTCCAGGGACATAGTATCTTTCTAAATCTTCCTTTTTAAAATGTTTACCAAAACTCCATTTCCCAGGAACAAGGTATTTTGAGGGGAATGGGAGACTGAGAAACCCTGATTTAAACAAAGTAATCAGGGCTTCGGTTGCAGGACCTCTAAGAGCCTTGAACATGCCAACAGGAGCTTATGAAAAGCAAAAGGAAGTGCAGCCCCTCCCAGCCTCCCATGACCAAGGACCACCCTTTTCACAGCATCTCACGGGACTACGTGGAAAATGCTATTTTAAAAGAATAAGGCAGTTGTGTGCACGCAGACACACACACACACACACACACACACACACACACACACACACACACAGAGCTTCTTTCTATTTCAGTTCCTGGGAGGAAAAAATAGGGAGGGATGGGTTTTTCCTTCTGCAGGTCCATTTCTGTAAACACAGAGCCAGAAAAGCAAAATCAGCCCTGTGGTCTTGACAATCAGGCATCTCCCTGTAAGCAGATACGGATACTTCCCAGAGAAGATTCTTGGAACTACCTATTTCCAGAATACATATGTACATTTATGGTTTGGGCCATTAGAGGGCTCTGTAGGCCAGATGGATTTCTGTTTCCAATCCCAGGACACACTCAAGAGAGAATTACCATGGTGACAAGGCTTGGGGTACAAAACACCCAAATCCACCAGAGATGAGGAATGTTTCACTCTTCACATCTTGAGCTTCTGGGTGGGATTAACACAAATGCTTTTTTTCCCCATTAAGCACATGATAAAAATAGCAAACTGGGGATATCAGCCTCTTTGTTAAATGTAAAATGACTCATTAGATGTTTTTCAAATATTAAAATAAAATTCAAGTGGACAACTCTATATTACTATAAATATCCGTATCTGTAAGAAAAGCTTTTCAAATACATCTCAGCTTTCGAGTCTCCAATATTCTGCCTTCTTGCAACTGGCATCTCATTTGCTCCTGGCATTTCTATTTCTGGTTTTCATCATTTCTCTGTGCATATCCAGGAGCATTATTGTCCAGATGAGACAATCCAATCACTTGTAATATGTGGATTGACATGTCATCTGATCAACACCTAACAGTAGAAGCACACATGGACACGTGTGTTAAATCCACCAATCCTAAATACGGAACAGTGTAAGTCACGCTGTTTTTAAATGAAGCAGTTACAAACGGTCAATCACGACATACATTTGACTCAGCTGGATATTTTCCTGGAAGAATTCTGTGACTCCTCCATGGTACTCTGTTCGTGGCCACAAATGTGTACCATGTGGAACTCCTGGTGGCCTCAAGCAGTGGTTCTCTTAGTGTGAACTCAAGACCTGCAGGGTTAGCATTCCCTGGGGGCTGGGCAGAAATGCAGGCTCTTGGTCCCCACCCCAGCTCTGCAGAATCAGAACCTCTGCTGGATGAGACCCGAGAGGGCGGAAGCAACATTTACAGAAGCACAGCTACAAGGAAATTGTCAAGATGCTCCAGGAAAAGACAGCATCCAGCACTGGTGAGGTTTTAAACAAAACTAGATTATGTCACTCAATAAGGGAGGAAGTAGACTGAAATACAAATCCTTGCTTCATCCCCAAGTGCTTCAAGTTATGCACTGGGGTCCACCGGCCATGTTTCCTCTCATATGCAGAAAAAAAATGATAGAAATTCCCTTCTGTCTCCTCCCCAAATGAAAAGAAAATAATGCAAATGAAGCTGAGCCTGAAAAATGCACCCCATAATGTCTCTGGTGGTCAGTTCTTTCTGAATCGCCCAGCAGGCTGACCGTAAGCTGTGAAAGGTACCAGTGGGGAGGTGCGTGTCCTTGGAGTCGGGCGTGCGGACTAGCCACGCCGGGGCCAGCAGCTCCACCAGAGGACCGTGTCAGCGTGGCAGCCACCGCTGCTCCAGCCGCGGCTGGAGACGTTTCTGCTTTAAGAGGCATGTCCTCCTCCCTCTCTCTGCCCTCCAGCCCTTGGCCTTGCCCGTCACTCCCACTCAGCAATACCAGCAGAAGTGAATGCTCTTAAAAGGACTCAGGGGGCCTCTTCTGGCATCTGTAACTTTAAAAAGTGCTTTGATTCTTCTTCCCCCTCCACTGTGAAGGACCCTCATGTGAGCCAGCAAACCGCAAAGAAAAACACTTTAAGAGATGGAACACTTTGGAAGCCCATCTTTACTTCGGAACTAGTCACATTTTCTCTACTTCAGTGGCCTCCGCTGCTGAATAGAGAGGTGTCCTCAGCTAAGTACACACGGCTTCGAGGTGACCATGTTCTCTATTGGTGATGACATTGAGAGGATGTTCCTGGAGGGTCCAGGTGAAAGCCACTTGAATGAGGGTATTATCACCCTAAAACACTCTCACTTACAAATCTGATGTAGCAAAAAACAGAACGAGCCATCAGAAATACTAACGTGGAAATGGAAACGTATCAAGTTGGTGCTGGGGCCACGACAGATGCTGGGTTAAGTTGTTTGGCTCAAAGACAGTTACCCCTGATGGCATCTGCGTATCCACAGATACAGTGTGTCCATGCACTGATAGACACCCAGTTCCCCCTCCTCAAAGGAGCTGTTAAACACATTCCAAGCCCTAGTTAGCTTCCCAAACTTAGCATCTCATACAAACAACCAAAGAAGGAAAACTATCTAAAAGCACTGTGTCTGTCCATAACACCCTCGAAAGGGGCGAGAAATTACCATCTGCCACTGCACTGCTTCTGAGATTTTATTTGCTGAGCTCCCTGTTTTTAGAACATTATTTCTCTTATTACCGACAGGATGCGATTGCAACTGGGATGCTGTATGCAGTGTTGTTACTGACATACTCAGTGCTTGCACCCCTTGCAAAATGTTAATATTATTTCTGACCCTGAGAATACTGGGAGGAAATGGTACTGGCATATGTGACTTCTCTGGGGATGTTCCCTCTTAATAAAGAGATGGGTTTGACGGCATTAGGAGCAACTCTTGAGGTCAAGACTCTTCTTGAGACAATGGGACAACCAAGCTGGGACAGGTGTGCAGCCCACTGAGGGCAGCTGGAGGTGGAACAGCACAGTCAGATGTCTCTGAAAGCAGGGGGACCGCTGATGGCTCCATTTGCCAAGTGATGTGCATGGATACATTTGCTCCTGCTGGAGGTCAAGAGACTTAATGTTCACCTCATTGAATTTCGTTTTCCTATTCTCAACTAGGGAGCAACATGAAAGAAAGAATAAAAGGTGCAAACGTGAATTAGTACGAATTGACGTTCACCCAAGTGCCGGTGAAGTCACAGAAAAAGTGGGAGTAACTTCTGGCCACAATCAGGGGTTGGTTTCATCTATCAGACAGAATACTCCTGTCAATATTATGACCTGAAAAAAATGCTCAATAAGGTTAAGAAGAAAAGTCAGGAATACCTAACAATACAATCTGAGTTTTGTGAGGCAGAATTGATAAATATTAGAAAAAAAAGAAAAGAAAATCAAAGGGCATTAGTAGCTATGTCAGAGTGATAGGATTTAAGTGATTATTAAAATTCTTCACTTTACACATTTCAGTATTTTCCCAACTTCCTATACTAAGTATGTACAACTCTTTAACAATCAAAAAGATGAGTCTTTTCAAATATACTGTACATCTCCCATCTGAGAACACTTCAGACATACTGAAACTATATTGTCGGCTCTAACACCTGCCACCTTCTTTAGAGCTGACCCCGAGGGTCCTCTGTCATGGTGCTTTCATGGGCATCCCAGCTCTGGACCGGGCACTCACCTGGGAAGGTGTCGTCACACTGATCTCCGGAACAAAGTTATCCTCGAAGAAACTGATGATGTTCTCCTGCTGCAGTTCCTTTGTTGGGGTGACTTTAGGGAGAGGTGGGACGGGAGGCCCTTTCCGGGTCTACAAAGCATCATACACAAACACACAGGAGTTAATTCAGCCAAAGACGACACAGGAGGCATGCAGAAATGTTATGTGAACACAGCTGGGCAAAGGGATTGATCACTGATTGTAATTTAGGTCTGCATAGAGATACAAGGCCACCTGATTGAGGCAAAGAACCCTTGCTTTAGGTGGCCCTCGAGCTCTGACAAGCAGCGGTCCAAGGAGCAAAATCCAGGCTCTAAGGCTCCATCCTTTTCAACACAGGTATGATATACAGGG